TGTTTGTGCTGGTGTCTCTGTCTGCTGTGTCCTCCCCACCGTTGTTAACTCATAACTTAAAACCCGGTGTCGGAATCCCCTATTTAGGATGCCTTTTTTGATGCCATCTCTATGTTGGGTCCCTCCTGGTTCTTCCATGGTATCTGCCTATCTGTCTCTCCTTTTTGGTTTTGGGGATTGTTGTTTTTTTTTTCCTCCTTTCACATCATAATGGTTTCTTTGTGTCTGTTTCCTCCATTAGACCCAGTAACCTGGGTGTCAGAACCGCATACTATTTACCTTTATGTCTCTACTATCTTATACGGTGCCTGACACACAGTACTGTTAGTTAATGTGTGGCCAAATAAATAAAAGAGAGATCCATGCTATACTCTTTGTATGCATTTAACATCGTGCTACCAAATAAAGATAAAAATACAGTGTGCCAGGTTAAGTTTGAAATTCACATAAACAACAAATAATGTTTCAGTATGAATAGGTCCTAAATATTACACGGGACATACTTATGCCCCCCAAGTTATTTTGTTATTCATTATTTACCTGAAATTAAAATCTAAGCATCCTGGCAAACTTAACCTAGAAAAAAATTGAGTTCATACCTGAAAGTTCACACAATGCAGAAGCTCACACTCAACTTGACATCACCTGCCCAGAAGCTCACACTGAAGTTGACATCACTTGCCCTAGGGTTTTGTACACGGTGCTTTGCATCTCTCCATGCCTTATGTGTAAAGAGCTCACAATACTCAGATGCACTGGCCTTGCCATACAGTCTGCCATGTGCCATAACATACACACATGCGTTTGTTTCCTCTGCGTGGTAAGAACATTTCATCTATACGTATCCGGGCAACAATACAGACAGACGCAGAGCTTTTTCGTGCATCCTGTCATGGTCTTTCCTGACCTATGGTGGTTTCTTGTTGCTGGATGGTGGGTTTTTTGAAACCAGGAGTATAGCACACCTTCCAAAGGCTATAAAATCTTAGATGTGGGTTTGAGATTTTGTCAGAGAGTTATGACTAGAAAACTACTCATTGTTTACATTTCTGCTCAGGCCAGGATGCCTGAGAGCTGACGTTCTGAAGGTTGAGCATGGCTTGGACAAAGACGTCATACTGTCTCTAGTCTAATGACCTTGTGGACGTAGCATGTCCCCTGTTAAAGTATCAGATGACTGATGTATTATTTTGATGGAAGGAAATTTTTTTTTTCAAGTTAGAAACACTGAAGCTGTTAACAGTTTATGTTTTGGAAGGCAAAAGAGTGTATTTCTCCGTGACTGGCAACAGAATTGAAATATGGCACATTTCATCTCTCATCCCTCATGCCAGAATTAATAATTATGGAAATTCCTCAGCTAGGACAGTTGGGCAGAGTTGTAGATATTTACCCCATAGGAGTCAGGCATGTTCTCTCAGGAAAAGCTGACTTTTAATGGCAGAGAGATTGCCCCTCCACCCCACTCCAAAATCCTGAAACATTTTTGTGGCCTCGGTATCATGATCTTGTCAGTAAGACGGTGGTCTCTGATTAAATCCAGATTGAGCTGTTTCCTGTTAGCGTGCTAACCCAGAGGGCAGGCTCAGCCCTCCGTGTATTGCTCTCTGAGTCTGGGTTATTAAACACTTGTCTGCCAAGGCTCGGTCCCTGCCTCCCTCACTTTTCTTTCAAACTAGGATTCAAAGGTATTGAGATATTACACACAGAAGAGATCCTAAACTCTTAAAAGGGTCCTATGGCTGTCGAGTATTTTGCTGCAAAAAAATTTGCTAAACTAAAATTTAGCAAATTTTCCTCTAGTCTGACCATAAGGCAGAGTTATGTTTTCTGTTTCACTTTTATATAATTTTATTTCAAAATAAGTCCAGTAACAAGCAGATCATTTCCAAATTTTTGTGTCACAAAGAAACACTCCACTTGAGTGTTGGTAAATTAGAACTCGTCTTCAAAATCTTCCCTCTGTTCTAGCAAGTTGATATTAGGGTGCTTAGCAAATGTGCAGAAAATGGCATTAAGCAAGTGTTCTGACACCTTAACGTGCCTTGTTAATTTTTTTGTGAGAATGATTCTAGGCACCAGAGCAATTCCTGTGCTTCATTTTATATTGTCACTCATGCTCACCCATTGCACTTAGTGAATAATATTTTTCTTTTTTTTTAAAATGTTTATTTATTTTTGAAAGATAGAGAGCAAGCGAGCGGGGGAGGGTGGACACAGAATCCAAAGCAGGCTCCAGCTCTGATCTGTCAGCAGAGAGCTCAACGCAGGGCTCGAACTCACAAACCACAGGATCATGACCTGAGCTGAAGTCGGATGCTTAACTGACTGAGCCACCGAGGTGCCCCAATAATTTTTAAAATCTAAATAAGTCAAAGTATTGTATTAGCTATTCTCTTAGCTCAAACATGGTTCTTCCTAATGTACAGATGCAAACACTGAGGGACAAAAACCGTTATTGGGGAGGTATGGGGATCAGGCAAGCATATTGAGAGTTTTTTCCAGAGGAAAAGGAGGACCAAAAGGAAGCGACTGGGTTAATGAGTAACAGGATTCCATTCCCAAGGGAGAGCCTTGGCTTCCTGCCAACTCTGCTTTCTGGCAGGAAAGGGGACCCACTTCATCAGGCCCTTTGACAAACATTTTTCTCTGTGTGTGAAATTTTGGCTACATCGGTGCTCAGGGAAAAATCAGTTCTTTTAAATAGCTTTTACTTTCCATAAGAAAATATGTAAAGTGGAATTTGCATTGTGAGTAAAAGGAGAATCCTCAAATTACAAAATTGTTTGGTAAGGGAACATTGTCACAAGGTGAGGAAGCTTGATTTAGAACTAGAGCTTGAATATCCCTGGAGAATGAGAAGCCATTCCTTTCATTATTGTTAACGTTTGACACTGAAGCATATTTTTTTAAGCTGCTTTTTAATATTACCAGGCTGATCATTTGTTTGGGACCAGATCTTTTGAGTAAAACATAGAAAAAACATCCCTACATTTTGGTATTAAGAAAGACGTCAAAGGGATATATAGATGTTTGAAGATAAAAATTAACATTGTATTTTATAATGTCTTTTTTTTTTTTTTTTTTTTTTTAGTGAAAAGTGGCAAAAGTGAATTATGGTTTAAACACATCGCAGTGACTTACTAAGCTAACATTTTCCAAAGTATGTTCATCCTGATGATCTACAAGATGCTGGGAGAGTAAAGGGACTCCATTTGGAAGGATCATGTATCATGATTGTGTATCCCTCTCTTAGAGTTTCATAACATGTTAGCATATTGAAGACTTTAAGAAATTCTGTAGTAAAGAAATGTATTTGACCTTGTTTTGCTCTGTAGTTCCCAAACTTGACCACAGGACCTTTTGTTTCAGAACTAGTGTTTTACCAGCACCCACGTAGGGCAGCACTGCAGCACTGTACTAACTGGTAAAACAAGTAATTAGACTTTGAAACCATATATCCTTTTCATTTATTGTTTCAGCTTAAAGTGAACAGACACTCCTGGGAGGATAGGTGGATACTATTAGGCCTATTTTAAAGCTACATATACAGTGATAAAGAACAGTTATCAGGCCGTGATTGGAGTCAACGGGCAGAAGAGGTCTGCAGAAACATTTGGTATTTTGCCCAAACCAGATCCCTCCCTTAGTAAAGTGAAAGTATCCTTCGAGAATGAAATAAAGAAATAAAGTCATGCACTGTGGAAGCCTGAGTCTTAATGTTAAGTCCTGTTAGCAGTTAGACATAATGACATTAAGCTATTCTAACCCTTTTCTAAAAGCGATCGCCACCATTTTGGTCTTACTGGAAGCAATCTTGCCAGCTAATTTCCTTCCAGTGGTTTAACATCTGGCAGGCCAGGTGAAGAGAAAGCAAACATGCTACTTAGCACCGTGTCGTCATTTAGAGATTCAGTTCCCTCTTCTTTGCTCCTCTTCCTCAATTTTTGCATGTCTGGTTATTTCAATTTAGGAAAAGCTGACATACAACAATTCAAACTTACAGTTCACAAAACCTGCCTGGCTATTGTTTGCATCACTGACAATGATTATTTGCTTTAGAAAAGGATCCTCTCAGTAGGTCATCTTCATGCTTATGAAGGACAAGTTAAGCTGAAAATTGCATCTTTGTATCATATGTTAGGTGCAGATTTATTATAGGATGTAAGGCACACCCCTGTTTTTCTTCATACTCAGTGTTCAGGCTTTACATATCTTTATCAATAGTCAGTTCTTATGTTTTGTGCAGTTGTACCTGCCAATATTATTTGCAATTTCATTCTCATGTGATGGCTACTTCTCATGAGCACATGTCTTTTCTTGTTCGTTGCAAGTCTCCAGAAATCAGAGAGATCATACACCCATCCACCCTTCCCATTACTACCCAGGGGTTAGCCCAGGGCCGCTTGGTATAAGCTACTTCTTGGTCAGTTACGTTGATTGCTCATGATACTCAATCAGGAAGGATATTGCTTCTTGTGGACTGAAGAACACCGGATCATGGTCACATCTCCGTAGATATCCGAATATACTCCTGATTTTTCAGCCTAGCGATATGATGTCAACCGGCTCATACAAATCCTAAAAATTTAACAATCAGCTCTCCAAAGCCAGTAGGAGTCTGCTCCACCACTGTAGGAGCTGTCTTTAAGAATGAGTTTGACAACTTACCATGGAACAGTACAAAGGGGATGATTGATAACTTTTGCTAAACTTGATCCTGGGGTCATGGAAAACATTCTTGATAAAATAAGCCAGCAACCTAATTCTTTATAGGGGATTAAGTAGAGGCAGGTGTAAGCACTATGAAATAAAGCAGCATGAATATCATCACCACCTCCTCACTCTACTACACCCATGGGTGAGAGGATTGTTTTACGTGGCTTGAGGGGAATTAAGAGCACGGAAAACACGATAGTCTATGCTTCCACTGGTCCACTGATTGTGGTTTTCCTTTAGGGAGCATTTCGCCTGATCATAATCATGAATTTCTTATACAGGTTGAAGGGGACCAGCTGCCTCCAGGACACACAGTCAGTCAATATGAGACCTGTAAGATCAGGACCATAAAAGCTGGCACCTTGGAGAAGCTTGTGGAGAACCTGCTCACGGCGTTTGGGGACAATGACTTTACCTATATCAGCATCTTTCTGTCAACATACAGAGGCTTTGCCTCCACCAAAGAGGTGCTGGAGCTGCTGCTGGACAGGTAAGAATCCAAAGGAGTTTGAGAGATGACAGAAACGCGAGAAAGGCCTTGTGCAGGTGAAGACCTGAGTTTCAGACTCACCTGCACTTGGTATGCTGAGAGGGATGTGTGAGAAAGGACCCACTGGAAGGAACAAACTTTGGAACAGGTGGCACAAAGACTTTTCAAGAGCCACGTTATGGTTTATTTCTGGTAGATATACCTTAGAATAATCTATAGAAAACTCTATGAAATCTTTGGGAGTACCTGCCATAAATGTATACTCCGTTGTGTATAGATTGCAGTTACTGTTTGCCCCCCTAAAATTTTCTCCATATTTTAATAGTTCTGTATTATTCTAGTAAATAAGCAATTAGCTAGGAATCTTACTGAGTTGTTGGGAGAATCAAATATGCTAATATGTGTGAAGTATGGAGCTCAGTGTTAGATCCATAGGAAGAATCTAATGGATGGCAGCTTCAATATAATGATGATGATAATATTATTAACAATCACAATGCAGTGACTGCTCTCTGAATATTATCCTCGGTTTATGTTGTTAGGTCATATGTTACAGATAGCAGAGCAGTGTATATTAGATTTTACACATTAATAATTCTGTTTCCCCTCCTTAGTTTTGCCTTATTTATAATTAAACTTGACCTTTTAATAAATTGTAATTAAATTGACTTGATACTGGGAGGAAGAAAAACCATCAGCCAAACAATTGTTTTAGAGACATGAGAGTTGCCATTTTAAATCCTTATATTTTGGAGTTTCCTGCATAAGAAAGGAAATGAGATAGGCTTTTTTTTGTTGGAGTAGTTGAATACTGACTTTTAACTAGGTTTTTAAAAAATTTTGAAGTGTTATGTGCCCATAGAAGGGTAAAAAAGAAACATTCATGTTTTCTCATATTGCTACATTTCCCCAAATATCTTTTATTAGGCTTTTAAAAAATTGTAGAACTGGGAAGAAGAAAATTGGACCATAATCTAATTAGGCAGATAACACATATTAACATTTTAAAAATAGAAGTATCCGTGTATATAGAGAAAAGTTCAAACAATTCAGAAAATTATAAAAAATAAACATTTTTCATTCCTCCTGGGTAATCACTGTAAACCATTCCTTTTGTATTCTTCCCCAAATTTTCTGGCCTTATATACATGTACATAAATACACATTTATATAAATATATATCATATTTATTCATATATGATATTTATCAAAAATATCATATTTTTATATGACATAAATAGAATCATAGTACAGTCTGTTCTGCAACTTTGGTTTTTTACTTACCTGTTTTGGAGATTTTTTATTCATTAAGAGAATTAACATATGTGAAAGGCTTAGAACAGTGGCTGGCATATTGAAAGCTCAAGAAATGTAAGTTATTGTCATTTCAAAATCACATATAGATGTATTTACCATATTCTTTTTGGTGGCTTTAGTAGTATTTATTGAGTAGATTATTCTATGGGTGGACAGTTAAGCTCACTCCAGTTTTTTAATTTGTTTTTAAAATTTTTATGTATTAAAATGTTTTTAATGTTTATTTTTGAGAGAGAGAAAGAGCAGGGGGAGGGGTGCAGAGAGAGAGAGAGACACAGAATCTGAAGAAGGCTTCAGGCTCTGAGCTGTCAGCACAGAGCCTGACGTGGGGCTCGAACTCATGAGCCCTGAGGTCACGTGACATGAGGTGAAGCCAGATGCTTAACCGACTGAGCCACCTGGGTGCCCCTGTTTTTAAAATGTTTAAAAATGCTGCAAAGAGTGTCTTTGAATATATACCTTCCAAGTACTTGTGTGAGAATTCTGTAGGATCATTTCATAGAAGAGTGGTGGATAGGACAAAATATATAAATATTTTAAAATGTCAAAGATATTGGGGCACCTGGGTGGCTCAGTCGGTTAAGCGTCCCACTTCGGCTCAGGTCATGATCTCACAGTTCATGGGTTTGAGCCCCGCGTCGGGCTCCGTGCTGACAGCTCAGCGCCTGGAGCCTTCTTCGGATTCTGTGTCTCCCTCTCTTTCTGTTCTTCCCCCACTCACCTCTGTCTCTCTGTCTCAAAAATAAATAAACATTAAAAAAATAAAATAAAACATGAAGGATATTGCTAAATTGTCCTTCAGAAAGTTGCACCAACCACATTTCTGTTCACAGAGAATGAGCGGCCTGTTCCCTTGCTTTCCTCACACCCTTGTGACCTGTGAATATTTTCACCTCTGCCATTGAAACCATCTCTACCGTCGTCTGTCCATTGAAAAATAGCTTATTGTTTTTTTAAGTTTCTTACATTTGTGAGTGAGGTTTAGCATCTTTAAAACATTTACCGGGCTTTTGTGTTTTTCTGTTTACATCTTTTCATATCCTTTACTTATTTTTATTTGGGACTATTATCATCTACTTATAACTGTTTAATATATTATGACATTATTTTTTTGCTTATCATGTGTTGAAAATATTTCTCCTAGTTTGTCCCTTGGTTTTAAAAGTTATTCATTAATATTTTTCATGAAGACATTTAAAATAATTTTTATGTGGTCATCTCTATCAGTCTTAAATAAGGCCTTTAATAATAAAATTCTATTCCAATGTGCTTACGATTATTGATAACAGTGGGTTTTTCTCAAGGTATTTTCCTCATAGATGCAATGTAGAGTGAAATCATCTGGACCAACGTTTATTCATATGTTCATATTCAGGAACATTGAAAAATGCCTATCCTTTATCATACATTGATCTGGGTCTCATAACTCTGGACTTCAGCATAGATAAGAAGTTCTGTAGTTTTTTTGTATGCACTTTAAATGTTAAGCTCTTAAAAATGTTAAGCCTGGAGTATAAACTTGTGGGATTAGTAAGTCATTTCTTTCATAGTTTGTTTGCTTGTGTAATATCAACACCTATAAATAGAGCTTGGAGAAGTGTACGAATTTTCCTTCTAGTCACATATATGGAAAGGATGCAGTATATGCAGACAGTATGAGGAAATAGGTCAACACATCAAAAACTCCTACAAGTTTTCTTTGGAATTGACAACCTCTTTTTTCTTATGGGTAGCTCTACTGATAATAGGCCACAGATGTCCACAGCCAGTAAAGAAGCGCACGTGAATTCCAGCTGTTCATCATAAGTAGTGGACATACACACAGGAACTAGAGTGTTTAGTCTGTGACTCATGTACATCCAGCGTTTATTTGATGATTTTTTAAATCTTCTCTTTGTTCTTTTATAGGAGGTACACATTTTTTTATTTTTAAAAGATTAACTGGATGACAGTTATTAAATAACGGAATCAACATGAATTCAAATTACATTCAGTTCAAACTATCATTTAAGGTATAACTGAACGAAAGAGTTAAGGTTTATCTTGACCTGTTGGATGAGCCAAGGCTTGGCCTTAAATTTCATCTCCTACTCCTGTCCTTTGCTTGCCTCTGAAATGAATGGAATCAACAAGTGCCAAATGCCTATAAAATACCCGGGACTCAGCAAGACACTATTTGGGTGAAACAGAAATATAGGACTTGGTCGTTTTTCACCCTTGTGGTGAATTTACTGTGAAGCTGTTGGTACTTAACCTCCAGGGACCCTCACTTACTTGCAATACTGTCTACATCATTTATATTCACAATATTGTAATCTTTTTCTTAGAGAGGACCCTTCAAATTACATATGCTGTGCAAAACCTGGTTGCACTCCCTGAGAACTTAGTATTTTACTGCAAAAGATAAGGCTTACACTCATAAAACTAGTAGACAACCACTTAAGGTGGTGTAAAAAATGAAACTGTAATGTGTTCTGCGGAAGTTCAGAGAAATAAATCTTGTTTATTTTGCTTCCTCCGTGGAAATGTGGATTTGTCCATGTATGTACGCACTTCAGTATGAATATTTCTCCCATTTCCCACTCACTTAGATCTTGTGACCAGATGTTCATCTTTGTTCAGTTTTAACCAAAATACAGATTCTGTGAAACACTTGATTCTTAAATTGGCCGTTGTGAGTTTTCATGTCTGTAATTGGGACGTAAGCAATTAAATTGCTCAAACTTACCTACCCCGAATGTGAGTTTGATATACTATTTTTTTGTTAGTAAATTGTGGTATACTTGTTTGTGAGTCTCTGATATAACTTTTTATGATTTCTCTTAGTTTCTTAATAGTAGATTGCTTATCTTTTGTGAAATCAACACCGGGAAGTTACTATAGGATGTGCTAATCCTAACAAGTCAAGAATGGATTGAAGGCAGGTGCTGTAGTCTTTCTTGTGCCCCCAGAGGAAAGCTTATTTGAAGTCGAACTTTGATTTTCCTTAAGACTTCCAATCATGTGGCTTTTCTTGTATAGAGCTTTATGTAATTAAAAAAGTCCTTTTTATACGTTTTTTCATTCTGCTAACATGAGTCCTTGTGATTGACCAATAGAAAGCAGCTTGAAGTCATATATGGCTAATTCCATGTGTTTGCTTTATCTCTTGCTTGGAGTTGTCAGCAGTTCACCAAGAATCCAGTTTTCTGTGCTTCTCACCATGGTTCAGTTAATTCTAGGGCTCACAGACTTCATTTTTAACCTAAGAGAAAGTTTTGGATTGTGGCTTAGCTCTTTGTGTTAGGCCTTTGTGATTTTGTTTTCTCTAACTTCACACATACATTCCACTTAAACATATATTCTTTCCACCATACCCTTAAAAAAAGTAAGGGAGTTAGGTACCACTGAAAATACTTAACCTCAAATGTAGGGTGAATCCTGTCTCAGCTAGTGACCCTCACTGAGGACCATGAAATGTTTATACACATAGCTAGATTTTTCTTCAGACAGCTGTCATTAGCTACTTTTGGCCTATTCTTGATCATTCTCCTTGATCTGTAACTTTCATATCAGAAGTAAGAAGACTTCCAAAGACAAACAATAGTGGTGAATAGGTCTCCAGAAAGTTTTGGTAAGTCACTATTGGCGCTCAGTTCACAGTTTGGGAAGGACTGGGCAAATCTGAACTGACTCTTGGTAGC